CCCTTACGTTCCTTTTCTTTTCCTATCTTCGTTTCCTTTCTTTTCGTTTCTTATATTTCACACGAAAACAACGACGAAGAGGACGACTATAAGGACCCGGAGGGTTCGCAATTAATCGGAGACCTCGGTCGTTCGTAATTAAGAAACTTCGTCTTGTTTATCTTACATGTGTACGTATATATCTATACATATACACGTATTTATATATTTAGATATATCCATCGTGTTAAAGTATTTCCAGTGCAACCGTGATTACTTTAATTCTCGAGCGTGACTGAATTTCGTTCTCGTGACGTTGGATTTAAATAACAAAAAAAAAAAAAAAGAAAAAAGAAAGAAATTGAATTGAAGAAAAAGTAACATTGTACGTCTCGAATCATTCAAAATTTATTTATGTATCGAGGCTAAAACTGACGGTATAATTAATTTTTATAATTATCCGACTATTTGAAAAATTCACAACTATTCAATATTTTTATTTTTATTATATTATTATTTTTATTCTTCCTCGATTCTATTAAATGATAATCATTATTGGTCATTTAATTTTCTTTTTTTTTATCTTTATTATTCATCATCGTCGTTGTCGTTGTTGTTGTTGTTCTTGTTGTTGTTGTCTCGTTGACTATCAATATCGTTTTAACAAAAGACAAGTGATACACTTGAAAATATTTCGATAAATATTAAACTCGTATATTATTTCAATTTAATTTCATTTATTTTATATACCCATATGTATAGATATATACACACGTACATACATACTTGCATATGTAATTACATTTAACATGAAATTAATTTAATTATTCTTTTTGTATTTCAATTATTGATAAAATATCTCGTACGTAACGTATTCTCGTAGAAGGAGAAAAAAGAAAAAGAAAAGGAAAAAGAGAGAGAGAGAGAGAGAGAGAGAGAGAGAGAGAAAACAAAGAAAGAAAGAAAGAAAGAAAGAAAGAAAAGAATCGTAAATTGAAATTAATTTATTAATAATAACGTTGTATATAAATAATATTTATTAATACATAACTATTTCAATTAATTTAAATTAATACATCAAAGCACTATTATTAATTTATTTAACTTTCAACGAAAACCTTTTACAGATATATATTTTAGTATACTACAATTTAGTATAATATCTCTCTCTCTCTCTCTCTCTCTCTCTCTCTGTCTGTCTGTTTGTCTCTCTCTCACGTATTGTTTAAATGTAACTAACTAACGTTTCGCTGCGTAACACTGTTTACAGTTAAACCAACGAAACGGGATAAAAGTGAGATAGAGAGATAAAGTTTATGTTATTCGAGTTTATCTCTCTCTCTCTCTCTCTCTCTCTCTCTGTCTTTCACCTTCCTCTTTGTTACGACTCTTGGTGACGACGTCTTGAAATCACCGAGCTAGTTCTATTTCCTATCTCTTTTCTTTTTTTTTCCCCTTCTTTTTCTTCTTTTTTTTCTCTCCTTTCTTCTTCTCTTTTCTCAAGATCTAAAGAGAGAGAGAGAGAGAGAGAGAGAGAGAGAGAGAGAGAGAGAGAGAGAGAGAGAGAATACAGCGTTAGTTTCTAGACTTTCAGTATGACATACTCGCATCTCTGTTACAAACACTTGTCCTCCATTTCGTTTCTAGAATCTACAATACGTGGGAAAGTAGGATGTATGTATGTATGTGTGTGTGTGTGTGTGTATGTGTTCATGTGTGTGTGTATGTATGTGTGTATGTATGTGTTTGTGTGTGTGTGTATGTGTGTGACTCCTACCCTTGTGGATTTGGATCGGGTTCGGGGGTGTGTAAGGCTTGTCTTGTGGGACAGGGGCAGAGTTAGAGGATAGGAGGGTTGTAGAGGAAGAAGCACGAGAACGAAAAAGGGTGAAACGTGACCATATAATCTATGCGCGGATATCGCACAGAAAAACTTTCCTTTCCACAAACCTCGCATTATACTTTTTATGCGTTCACTTTAATTCCTTTTTATCGTACTTTCAAACTGACGTCATTTTATTATTATTATTATTATTATTATTATTCGTTATTAATCATTGTTATTTATTTAATCAATATTATTTAATTAATTAATTAATAATAATAATAATATTATTAATATTTTATTTC